TTTAAATATCCTGAAAAGTGACAAATATCACCAAAAAGAAACCTACTGTGTAAAAACACTGAGGTATAGCCTAAAAAATGGTTAGAATTTGTAAAGAAGGCAAAGCAAAAGCAAAATACTTAGCGAATGGTTTGAAGCACAAGGAAGAAAGCCACCGAAGCATCATGGGACCACAAGATCTAGGTCCCAGAGCCTTCTGTGTATACCCAGGCCCCTTCTATTGTTTCTTTAGGGGTGTTTGCCTTTCTGTTGGTGTTTAAAAGTGGTTTGAAGCACTAACTGGGAAATTCCTACCATTTGTTGTCTCATATATTTTGAATGGAGTCTGAAATATAATTGGTTCCCAACTCAACGTTACTGAAACGCAAGTATTACAGCTCATTTTTAAATGGCTGGTGTTGTATCCAATGTAACGCATGCTTTGACTGGCAACTTTTAAGGTGTGATAATGTAATGCCTACTGGCATTATGCCCTCTGGCTTTCAGCCACACTTTCTTACAGTGTGCTATCTATATATCAATAGTAACTGGTCTTGAAGTGCTGACTGACACGGCTGTCACAATGTATGTCAAGCCTGGCATTTGTATGTTTACTATGTATGGTTGTTTTAAGGGGAGTGCCATTTTTTTAAATGTTCATTCACAGCCACCTCCACTCTGGGAAATTTGTGATAACTATTATATGAACTACTTTATTACTGTACTTCACCACAATGAACCTTTACAACCTTTTTCGTGATATAACTGGTCAGATTGATGACCCACAGCAAATTTAAAGTTCTGTGCGATTGTGTGAGATGAAGTTATATTTTCATCACATGCCACTGAATAATAAGCTACCTTTTACATAAGATTAGGAATTTGACTTGTCACTGATAAACTTGATACAATTCTGTCCTAGAGCTAGCTTTCAACAAGGCTTATCATAGCTCAAGTTGAAATGAAATAACTCTCTTGTATGCCTTTTGAGGTCAGAAAGATTAAATTCAGGGACTCTTAATTGAATCATGAATTGTACAATTTGAGTGCTTTCAACATGAAATTCAAGTACAAATCAATACAAACCTACACATGTCAAAACCCTGACAGAGAGCTGATCTATAGCGTTCTAAAGGCCTGCATCGGCCTAAATGGACTGAACAAGAGCTTCCCACATAGAGAACCGATTCAACTTCGAGCAAACTAGACCATAATTGGGAGTAAGTGAACACTCCGCATGCTGTTTACGGCAATTATCAACCGGAAAACCACACAAATAAATTCCTTCAGCACTGGCGTATCACAGACAGTTCTGATATTTAGCTAGGCGGAGAATGCCTTAAATTGATAACATTAGGAAAGGGGAGGTGAGGGGGTGGGTAGCAATAAATAATAATAAAAAAGCTTTTTAAATGAAACATGCAGAAAGAAGTTCTCTACATTTCATGCTAGGTAAGCCTTACAAGCTTCTGCCATTAGGAAGGCAAAATAAAAATAAATAAATAAATAAATAAAATCACAGGTTACATGAATGAAGGGGTGCAGATCTGCGGGAATGTTCCTGGAAAATCCGACAGATATATTGTCTAGCTTAAGAATTCCTAAGAGCTTATAGTAGGGTCCAGCACTCTCCCTAGCATATGCAAAGAAGATGCACAGAAGACACTTACTCTGTTTGATATGAGGACAATTTAAATGAATATTACTGGCACAGCCCCAGGCAATAATGCCATAGCTTAAATAAGGTTAATTCAAAGGATAGTATAAATTATTATTTGTTTTAGCGTATGAAAGTCAAGGTAATGGCTAAGTTTTGAGAGCCTAAAAATATGAACGTTTTTAGTTATTAATTTTGTACTATTTATATATTGCAACTGTGGTTCCCAGCTGAGATGCTTGTCACTATAAACTCCTAAATATTTTTTTCTCCTAGATTGTCAATATTTATCCTAGGGTGATACCTATAATGTAGGTGAAGAAACCAACATATTAACTGCCATAAGAATAATCAATTTCAATTAACTGCAAAATATACATAAAACATCATCTTACCTTCATTTTGTCCAGGTCATCATAGTCACTGATTCGTTTATAGAATGTGCTTTTCTTCTTTGTCTACCGTTGAATTCAAACAAGAAACATTAAGGAAAATAAGATACTGCACCTGAATGGTTAGTAACTGGTGAGGGGAATGTTGCCCATGTGTGTGGTAGTAATTTTCTAGAGAAAATCGACTATAAACCCATGTTCAAGTGACTACTTGCAGATAGCCGTACAATCAATCTCTTTTTGTCTCTTGGCAGAATAATGAAGCTATGTATACACCTTGACATACCAACATTAGCTCCAAACCTTCAGTAATGAAAATATCAATAGAACTCAACAATTAAAGATGATTAGTCTCTTCAGAAAATTACCAAGAGGTCAAGGAATTTTTCAGTTATAAACATGGCATTGGACAGGTAACTTAACCACCATCTTTTACCAAGTTATCACAATGTGTTGCTCCAGAAAATGTCCATACCCCTTCCACAGAAGGTTTTTTAGCTTGAAACCCCTCACCCCTCTGGAAATTCCATTTAGTGCCCTACTTTCCTTTAAAAAATTGGGCTTTTGAAATCCCCCTCCCCCTTAGAATTTCCATTAGCCTTCCTTGGGGTGGGTATGGATATTTTCTGGAACTACATTACATAAGAATAGACCTGATTTGAACACGACTAATACTCAAACATCAGCTGTTCGAGCTTACAATGGCAGATTATGTATCTTATCAACAGACAAACCCTTTAGTTTGCCAAATCATACCACACCTCACTACTCAATAACACACCAAATATTTCATAGGAATGCTCTGCATGTCACCCACATGGTGTTTTCAACATTTTGAAAAGAAGATTTAACGGTACTTTATTATACTGAAACTTTCAACAGCTGCTCACTCATCCGTAGCTGAATACTGATTTAAAGTTTGCACCTAATAATGCTCAATACAGTTTATCTGAGCTACAGCTTTTCCTGCTGCGCCTCTCAAAAACACCAGCATCCTGATGTTCAAACCTAACTAACAATTGTGCTTTTGGCTGCTGCCAATCATAATAAGGATGACAAACAATGAACCTTAAAGAAAAGAATTAAACAAAATGAATCGAAATCTACCAATCATAACCCACAGAGGAACATTTCGAGCCCACTGTGGTAGACTAGGAGACCCACAGGTAGACTGTGGAGACCCACTACGATGACTAATAGCAGCAAAACACAAAACAACCTTGTTCCCAGGCTCTCTCTCTTCTGCCTCCCTTGTCATTGGGAGAAAGACCCTCGTTGCAGCTGGTAATGTGACCACCTGTGACACAGACATTTCCACCAGGGCAGAGTTGACGAATAATTTTTGTCGATCTCAACTGAAGTGAAAGACAGGTGACGACCGCTGGTCATCGCTACATGTATATTAAACCACACATGGGCAAGTACTGTAGTACACCTTTGAAATTCTCCAGTCCTTTTCAACGCTTCACACAAGCTCACACAGGTCAAACGAAATATATTTATATATCCAGCATATTGAAGTACCTATCACTCTGATTCCTGCTGGTTGATTTACTAAGAAGTAAGAACTGTTTCGCCCTTTCATGTTGCTTGAATTAACCTCATGGCACATTGTTCGCTATATAAAACAATGTTTTATTTACCATTTTGCAAAAAGTTGTTCTTGACTATGCCAAAACACTGCACAAAGAAGAAAATATATTACCTCCAAATTCAAAGTTTCACTTCGATTCGATACGTTTAACACATCCCACCCGTCAAAAAGTTTGTGCTCCATCCTACTGCCGAATTTCTTTGTGAACGAAAGTCTTTTATATTCTGGAGATGGCAGAAATATTGTAGCATTCTTCATTGGTAAAATTTGACCTCAAACCCTGATAAAGTGGCTAGTTTTTAGCTACTGCTTAAGGACTTGAAACCCACAAATCGACACAAAGTTTATCACAGCAACTATCAAAGCACTCTACCACCTCTCCTGGCCAACAGATTTTTTACCACCCAGATTCTGGGTGGTTACATGACCAGCCACAATCAGGGTCTTTCTCCGAATGACTAAGGAGGCAACCAGGTTGAACAATGAGGTTGAACACAAAACCGTTGATTGAGCAGAATTCATGTGCTTATGAGAGACGCAGTACGATCGCAACTTTTGATTTTGTGCATGTTTTCAAAAATCTTGAAAATGGCTTGATAGATTTTTGTGACACAAAATTATAGTGGGAGTGATCTTGAAAAACCCCTCATCCTTGGGACTGCAAAAAATAACATCAACAAAACCTTCAGGCCATCACATCATAGACACACTGGTATCATTTTGAAGCAATTTACCCTAATATCAAAATTGTATTCATCTAATGGTCCATTTACTATTATGCAAAAAGTGTGGTTTGAAATATCCTTCTTTTGCTGCAATCTACTTGCAAATATAAATTAGTGCATGCTTGTTTATGTTCTATATTTTTAATTATTACTTGCATTTTTAAATTTATATCTTGTATTTTTAAATTTTATCTTGTATTTTTAAATGATCACAATGTCTTGTGTTTTTAATTATTATATTTTTAGTCCAGGGCCCCTCTGCATATCAGCCTTGTTGCTGAATGGACCACCCTTGCAAAATAAAGTTTACCTTTACCCTTTAAATAACATGCATTTTTTTCTTTTCCTGACACATCAAACTATTTAAAATATTGGTATTTTCTATAGCAAATCTGGTTGGCGCAAAATTTAAGCTTATCAATTTTGAGCTTTCTTTTGTTCATGAAATATCATTCTACCAAACTTTACCAATCTATTTCCAGTAGCTAGCTGGTGTAGTTTTGACACTATTCCCATCAGGCAAGACAAGTAAAATGCTTTTTGAAAATGGCACAGAAATGGTGCAGAAAAAAACTGTATCGTAAACCCTTAAAAAAAACCTTGAAAAAACCATCACCCCCTATGTAAAAACAATTCCTACAACAAAAGTTTACCCCTTTGTCCTTGGCTAAAGGTGACATGGGAGGGGAGTCTGTGAGTGTCATGCTTGATTTCTTGTGTCTGAAGGAATCAATTGAGCTTTCGGATGATGCTGCAGACACAGAACTTGGTGATCGCTTCAGGGAAGTGGACCGTCCGCTTGGAGGAGGACCTAAAAACTCCTAGTCAAAAAAGACAAGAAAGAATAACTATCAGGAATGAGAGTGAACCCTTAAATCACCTTTCAGTGCACGTCAGAGAAAGCTTAACTGCGAAAGAGACTTTGAATAACAAAATAAAAAAAACAAATCTGTACTATGCAAGTTGTTAGATGGTGCGTTGGAGACTGTAAGTGGTGTCTAGTTGACAGTGACTAACTCTTCTTTCCTTTTACAGTAATTAAATAACACTGTCAATTGAAGTCATTTTTAGGCTTTTAAAAATAAAAATAAAATTGAAGTTCACCAATAAATCACAAAAATGTTCTCATATCAATTTATTTGTATAGGTAATTGTATGAATATGAGTGAAATTAAGGATTTATACTACCGGTATAAGTAAAATCCCTTATTGGTGGAGCTTTTATGTGATTATCATTTTGTTATACGACTGAGAAAATTAAAAACTTGCATGCATTAATTTGCACTGCAGTTTTTTGAATTAAAAATTTACAATAAAATTGCCTGTTCTCAGTCAGTTATAATAAAGTAATTTTCTCTGTTATACCATGCATAATTCAAAGTTTTTCTTTGTGTGAAAATATATCTGTTATTGATACATATAAATCTACAGTATATACAATACAAAGAGATAAACTACAATTATAACAGTTGCAAAATTAATACATATATAAGCTATAGTAAATAAGAGAGATTTAATAATAATAATGACATAACCAGAATAGACCAAAGCAGGAGCATCATTGCATGTAAATTTAAATCTAAATTTTCTAGCCTGTGCTTAGAGGAGATTTTACTGACAAAATCTGCGATGAGAGGAGAACTACTGTGTAACTTATTTGTATAGATAAAATAGCGGGCAAAAAGCAAGGTGTACTTAAATTTTTTCAGAAGTTCTTCGTTGGCAGGATCGGAAAAAAATCCCATACAAAGATTCTTGATTTGATGGTTTAAAAGAAGACTGATTACAATTATTGAACCATTGCACCACTTTTAACAAGAAATCTTTCGTAAAAAAACAGTCTGAAAAGGTATGTTCTATCGATTCTTGTTCTCCACAATATAGGCATTCACTGTCACCTTTGATATCAAATCTACAGAGCTTGTTTTTAGTTACAACGATTTGATGGAAAAATTTGAAGTGAAATTCCCTCAGCATATTTTCTCTGGAAACCTGTTTAATCAATATAAAATTTTTTTCCATTGTTTTGCACATGTTGCCATAGATTTACTCCATTTAGTTGGTCCAGTATGTGGACCATTATTAACTTCCTTGTTCAATAACCAGTAGAAATCCTTTACTTGGCAATTTCAAAGTTTACTTTTGTTGAACTATCAAGATCGAAAATTGAGTGGTTTTGTAGAAAGATGCTCTTGGAGAACGGTTCCAAGTTATTGTTCTCTGTCTTGGCCAGTAAGCTGTCCAGAATAGCACTTCTGACTTGATAGTAATTCAAGAAGTTAGTTTTACATTTATATTTCATTTTAAAGGCTTGGTATGAGAGTAGGTGACCTTGCTCAGGTCACTTACCAAGATAATCCCTTTTGAAAACCACTCTTGGATGAAAAAAGGCTTGCCATCTATTAGTATTTCCTGGTTATTAAATTAAACGATTTGGCCCAGATTAAAATTATACAGAGTTCTAAGATCATCGAAGAAGGAAAGCAGTCCTTATAGAAGGTAGGTAATTTCAAATTAAGGAAAATCACATAATTACAGTGCAGTAGAAAGTTTAAGCCACCTAGCCTTCTTAGGAAAAAATCAGGTACTGAATTTCAATTTGAGTTTGCATGTTTCAGCAGAAAAGATATCCATGCCAAATGCATGGCCTTTAACATCAGATCTACATTGGTCATACAAATACCACCTTTATCGTAATCTTGGTAAAAGCCTTCTCTTTTAATTTTATCCTTTTTGTTGTTCCAAAGGAAACTAAAGAGTTTTCTTTTAACAGTTGTGATACAGTCGACTCCCGATAACTCAAACCCTCGCTAACTCAAACCTTGTGCTAACTCAAACCAAAATCGATTTCCCCTGGATTTCTGTCATACATTTACTTTAATTTTGCTCTCAGTAACTCGAACCCTCGATAACTCGAACCACCCACTAACTCGAAGCAATTTTCGTTTCCCTTCAGGTCATTTTCTGTATAATTTTACCCTCAATAACTCGAACCATATCTGTCAATACGCGCCAAGTCAAAACAAACAGTGCACTGTAGTCCAAAACATTAAATTTATTTTGAAGCAGCCATGTGAAAAAACCTGTACAGTTCACAGTTCCTGTTCTCCCTGCTGCTTTCCTTTGTTACGTTTTTCACCTTATGTTGCCTTCCAATTTATAGAGTAATTTAGAGATATATTGTTTTAGTTTCACTTGACTTCACTACTCTGTAATTAAATTTGATTACAATGTACACTGCATGAATAGAAAAACATTTAACACCCTTTTTTCCTTATTTCCAGTCATTTGTTCTAAATTCCAGATAACTCAAACTCCCGATAACTCGAACCTTTTTCAATTTCCGTTGAAGGTTCAAGTTATCAGGAGTTGACTGTAGTATCTTTTGGCACATTGGTGTAAGAGGCTGAATACAGAATTTGCGACAGTCCTAAAGATTTAATAATCAAAACTTTCCCAAATAAGGTGAGGCTCCTTGAGCTCCAAATATCAAGGTGGGTTGGGAGTTCTTGAATTTTTAAGTTGAAATTGTAGTGATTGTTGGTTTTGTATATTCCTAGAAAGTTGTTAACCAAACAGAGAGCTTTGTCAACAGAGGTAATATCTTCACAAAAGAGGTTAGCGTCATCTGCAAATTGGCTCACTTTAACTTCCATAAATATTTATTCCTTTAACCAGCTTACTCTGGCGGATTTTATCGGAGAGTATTTCTGCACCCAAACTAAAAAGATATGGTGACAGGGGGCAGCTTTGTCTGACTGCCCTTGTTGGCTTGAACCAATTCGTTGCAAACCCGTTGTTGAAAACTGCACTTTCAACATCAGGTAAAAGATGCTAGTCCACCACTTTACGCCTTCCCCGAAATTAAAAAGATTTAATACGCTTTTATGAATGGCCATTCCAAAGTGTCAAATGCTTTTCGAAGTCAAGTGAAACCAAGACACCCATTAACTCCTCATTCTTAGTGTATTCGAGAACATCACTGATGAGTCTTAAATTCTCACCTACAAATCGTTCCTTCATGAAGCCTGTCTGATCTGGGTGTACAAATTTTGGAAGAATTGTCTCAATCCATTCAGCTAAGGCTTTCGATGCAATTTTATAATCAGTATTTAACAGTGTTATTGGTCTCCAATTCTGAAGGTCTAACAGATCCAAATCAACCTTGGGAATAAGAGTAATTACTCCATGGCATTGTGAGATAGACAATTCCCTAACTTCATAAGCTGTGTTTAGGCTTTCCAATAGATAACACCCTACTGAATCAAAAAAGTATTTATAAAATTCTGTGGTGAAGCCATCCTCACCTGGCGATTTGTTTTCCTGAAATAATTCTAATACTCTTTTGCATTCATCGAGGGTCAGAGGGCCGTCTATTTCTTCTCTGTCTTCATCCAAGGGTTTTGGAAAGATTAGATTTCTGATAGAGGTCAAACTGTTCTTGTGATGTGGATATTTCAGAGGAGTACAGGTCCTCATAAAATTCCGAGATGACTTTCAAGATTTCCTTTTCTTCTCTTATTTCTACTCCGTCCTGTTTTCTGAGTTCGTTGATGCTCTTTCTGTAGTAGTTTCGTTTTTCCAAGTTGAAAAAGTATTTAGTGGGTTTTTCCCTTTTTTCTATCCACCTACATTTGGATCGAAACATTGCAGCCTTTCCTTTGCGCTCATATATTGAAAAAAAAGCTCCGTCTTTAAAGCTTCATATTCATTTAAAGTGGTATTAATATTAAGCAGGTAAATGCTGTTACAAATTAAGTTGTCGAGGTGATCAAGTCACCTGGAAATTTCAGTCTCCCTTTTGGAAAGTGCTCTTGAGTTGTCTTGCAAATGAAATAAATTTTTCTCTTATTTCCACTTTCATTAAGTCCCAGAATAGCTGCATGTCCGGAACGAAGGAATACTTCTCGTGAATTTGAGGTAATAGTTTGCGAATATGTGCTATATAGACTTCATCATCAAGCAAGGTATTGTTGAATTTCCAGAAATCTGGCCCCCCTGGGATTGTCACAGGCAAAGACAGATAAAAATAGATTGCTTTAAGATCAGGTGCAATTGACACAGTAATTCCAACTTTGCTTACATACTTTACCAAAGATTTTGCCACGAGAAAAAGGTCTATTCTCGACTTAACCTGCAAGGATTTAGATTCATATGAAAAAAGTTGTGAATCGGAACTTGTCTATGGCGCAAATGTTTAAAGTGCCTATGAAGTAAAAAATAATTGCTGCTGATTTGAAAGGCTTTTTAAAGTAAAGAAGAATGGCATTTTCTTTATTTTCAATATCTTTTTTCGTTTTAGAGATATTCACATTTTTGGATTAAAAGTGACGACATCATAGGTGGTTCCACTAAAACAGTTCAACACTCAATCAAGAATATCTCTAGAAATATTAGCGCAGTGTTCTTTGAACTTGGCACCAGAAATGTACATCACAAAATGACACCCGTCGTGCCATGGCCATGGCAACAGTTACGCTGCCGGTCCTGTTTTAATTAAAACTAACACTACCAGATTTTATCTTTAACAAGGATCATCCACTCCCAACAATCTAATGGGAAGAGTTAAGACAATATGGGAA